ATCATTCAAGACACACATCCTAACTTGAATAATAATATTAAGAGAACCATCTTCCTATTTGTGTGCTACTCTCCTTCCTCTACTCAAGGAGTAGAGGAAGGAGTAGAAACCAGCCTTTCAAGACCCTTCCACTGAGAACCAGCAAGAATCCACACCTGTCCCCCATTCATGAGGCTGTATAAATGGAATAGGAGCAAATTCTTCATCTCCACAGTAACACAAAGTGCAGACGACAGGCCATGAGCTAGCAGACAAGAGGAAGTGGGTCTGAAGACCTGAGCTTCCACAAAAGGTCAAGCAATTCAGAACAACTCAGGAAGCCCAGGCCCTGTGTTGCCTGAACTTCCCCATCTGTCCCCACCCTTGTTAAATCAAAGCCAACAGCTACCTGAACTGACAGAGAAGCCAGCTCTGGGAGGGAGCTGAGAGGCTCCAGGCTGTGGCAGTTACAGTAGCCCCCAGGCTCGCTCACCCAGAGGTTGTCACTAGAAGGTCTGTCACAGTCAACCCACCCAACAGTTTTCCGGCTGAGACCACTTCTCCCCACTCCTCCCTAAGATCTAGAAAACTCCAGTCTAAATCCCTCTGAACACTATGGAAGGGCACCTTCCAGGTGCCTGAAGACACGGCACAGGACTCAGGCTTGCCTGTCATCCTCCCGGGGCCACCAGCACAACACGATCCCACCAATCCCTACAAACACACAATGACATGACCTGTCTCCCTCTAGAAAGGATCAATCCATCCACTCCAACCTTTCCTGTACACGGTGTATTCCCCCAAGCATCTTGGTCCACCTCTAAGGATTCGTCCTCCCTAACCACAGACTCAGGGTGCCATGGCCATCCCCAGGTGTGATGTCCTTGGGGACATCCAGTGCTCCCTCCCTCAACATCAGCCCTATCAACTGTCCCCAGGGGCAGTGTCAAATTTGAATTCCCAAGGAGTTGAGGCATGGCAGACTCGGATAATGCCCCCATCCCTACAGGCTCACCTCCATTTGAAGCCATCCCCTCAGGCTGGGCACTGACCACCGCTGTCTGGCAGTTTCCGCAATGAGAAAAGTCAAGGGTAGGACCAAGAGAGTGACCTGGCTCAGCAGATGCTCTTGAGTCCAAGTGGAGCAGGGAAAATTTGAATGTAAATAGGTTTGGAACATAGGCCCCCAGACATTCTGCAGAGGGGGAGGGGCAGTGGGCAGCTGGTAGGGGTGGGGGACATTCTGTGAACGGCTTCAGCCATTAGGCAAGAACCTGAGTTTCCCTTCCAACTGGACGGCAGCAACACAGATGGTGTGCATCTCTTTAGGCAACTTTCAAATTGTCCTGACTCACAGCAAAAGCTAATACCTGATTTTCCCTTTACTCCATTCTTTATCAACAGACCTCCTTTTGTGCCAGTCAACCCATGCTCCTTCCCACTTTGGCTCTTTCCCACTCTTGATGACTTTCAACAGGGGATGCACTTCCCGAACACAATTCAGAACATGTTTTCAGTCTGAAAACACAGGGGTTCTTAGGAAGGCAAGGGGACTGGGTGTTTGAAATCAGAATGGTCTCAGCTGATCCAGGCTATTAGGTGGTTGTGTGCTCATCATTGTTTCAGAAGCAATCCTTGTGCCCCCAGATCATGTATGTTGCTGGAATCTCTGTCCACACCAGCAGGCCAGCCTTACTTCCCATCCCCTTTGCTGGAAACCCTCAATCCAGGAAAGAGTGGCTATGTGACCTATAGTACCAAGACCAGAAATCCTTTCATTTTGTTTCCCAGCATACTGTGCTGGTGTTAAATGTTTATTTTTTGTCTTTTGAATGATTTTAATTTAACCAAGCAATACTTTTGCATGGTTCCAAATTCAAACTGTGCACAGTGGAATAGGCAATGACCAGCCTTCCTCCCATCTCTTTTCCCTGGCCACCACATTTTCTTTCTTGGAGGAAACAGGTGTTATCTGATTGTTTTTCATCTTTCCAGAGACATATTATGCAATCAAAAGCATAATGAAGCTATTTTTGCTGTCTAAAAATGCTTTCAGGTTTTTTGGGGTAAAAATTAATATATTAGTATGATCCAATGTTTTCTTGATATTTACAATGACTGTGTTTATCCTAGTAATGTGGCTCCTCTATTTCTGTAGGTAAATTCCTAGAATAAGGCATTGTTCCATTCCTTCAAATCAAAAGAATAGAGTGGCAGGGTTTAGCAAGTATGAATAATGAATACCAAGTGGAATTTGAACTCAAGATAAACAGTGAATTAGTTTTTATTATAATTGTGATCCATGTGATATTTAGAGTATACTTTTACAAAAAAATCTGTTTTTCCTTTATCTGTGTTAGTCACATTTCACTGGGATCTTGCACTTTATCTGGTAACTCTTCCCAAAAAAGTGCAACATATGAAGTGATTATTGTTAACTCTCCACTGTGAGAGTGAGAATTTGCGGTAAGGAGACTCAAGTGTAAATCTTGGCTTCACCACAAAACACAACCATTGCAGAAAACAATAGCAGGCTGATTTGATGAGAGGAAGTCAGGAGTAGCCATTATACCCTTCTCAGCTTCCAGGTTTAGTGGCAGCAAGCACAGTTGTAAGGGACAGGAGGGCAGAACACCATCTTTTTCTTTCCTAACATAAAGCAGCTTACAATTCCTAGAGCTGTGGTTTCTCCAGGAGTTAGAAATCCACAACCCATGTTCATTCTAAGACACGCCAGGATGCTATCCACCAATGTCCCATCCCCATTCCCATGCATCCCCTCACATGTGTGAATCCTGGCTGGCCTCTGTCAGCTCACTGTTGGCTTCATCTTCACCGTACGTTCTTGCTGTTTGGAATCTAGTGTCATCGCACGTGCTTCTCTGCGTGGGAATTGTAGCCTGTCTTTAAAAAAATTCATTCTCATTTCCCCACTGAGAATCACTGTCCGTTTATCAGCGTCAAAATGACAGGAAAGAACACTCATGTTCTGTGTTGTGAACAAGGGGAGTGTTAGGAAACCGGTCAAAGGAGATGAGGAGTGAGTACTCAGAGCACAGCAACAAAATCTTCGGAGACACACACGTCACTCTCCGCTGGGCGGGATAATTTTGCACTGATGAGAGGGTGTTGGGGAACGGAAGAGGCCTTCAGCCAGACCGGTGCACCTTGCTAACATTCACTGAAACACACCCTGTTGCCACTTACGAAGCGTTTACCCCTTTCGAAGACATTTGGACTCAAGAAGGCAGAGTTGCAGGAAAATGTAACAGGGACCACACTGCAGGGGCAGGCGGTGGATTGCAAGTCTCAAGCCCAGGGTTCTCCCTTCCTTGCCCCAGTTGTGTGAGGTCATTCCTAACTCCTGTCCAATATCCTCATGAATTGTTGGTTTTGTCCCAATTCTAAACCTCAATGGTCCAGCAGGCATTTCTATGAAATGCCTCCACAGTGGCCACTGGGAGGGGAGTGACCTCCACACAGTGACTGCCTGTCTGGGTGCTCCCAGGCCTTTTGTCCTCTGAGACAGAACTGTCTTCTTACATGCAGCCCTCTTCCGCTGTGCAACTCTATCTCGATCTTAGCTGAGAAGATCAACGGAGAGCAATTCAAGCAAAATCATGGTAAACTTGACAAAACATAACAAAACAAACCGTAAATACTTTGGAGATCTTTCTGAGGACTAGACCTTTTATCACGGGGCAAACTTAAATGATTTTCAATCAATAACTTCATCTAAGAGGGATGTTGAGGCAAAAATATCATACTCAGAATTCTTGGTTGCTTCCTCCCTTGTCAAGTCAGTCAGCGGATGCTTTCTCAAGATTCTTACACATGGCTTTGATACAGGATTTGAATGAGTCTTTTTCTGACCAGTATACAAAAACTATACTGTGGAACAGTGTCTTGTCTCAATTCTGCAATCACTTCTGTGCATGTCTGAAGTCCTAGACCCCAGGAGGAGAGACAATCAAATTAGCCAAAGGTAATTTGTGAAGACTGACCATGGGAGGTGGTGGCCAGAAGTCCTCTGGCCACTGCTCTCTGAGCATGCCCATAGAAAGTCCTGGGCCACACTGACTGCTGAGAAAGAACATCTCAGGGCTTGGATCCCCTGTTCAGAGGACACATGCTCTTCCACCCCATCAGGGAACAGTAGAGGAATGGCGGCTCCATGCTGTGTCCTGCCCAGCTCTCAGTCTCTGCACTTGAGGCCCTGGGCTGGCATAGATGTGAAGGCTCTTCAGTGTTATCATATGGAGACAGATGATAGGAATCCTGCAAATGAGCAGAAAGGATGTGACGATTAAAGTTTCTTCTGAAGTTATTAGAAACTCAAGTCACTGAGTTGCTTCTCTACTAGATTTTTATTGCCAACTGGAATTCTGCACTGTGTTGCAGAGTCGGGGGTGGGGGAGTGTGGAATTGTTCCCTTACTACCTGCTGCTCTGTCAACTGAAATTGATCAAAGCTATAACAAAAACATTTCTAGAAATCATTTGAATGCGGTCGGGAAAACTCTGGGAATGGAGTCAGAAGAAGCTGTATTTTGGAGTGTGTTTTCAGGTCTAAAATTCTTTGCCAGAAATGTTCTTTAATGGAATCTCCAGACTGAGTAGGAAAACAGGGCATACTATTTTTTGAAAGGAATGAGCAGGAATGAAATAAATGCAGTCCAAAGGGAATGCAAAACATGCAAGTTGAGGATACTTTGCTTTAGGATAAACCCTCCAAAGGGAAACCTTTCAGCAAGAGTGTTACCTAAGTGCATGCAATGCAGGTTTGTATTACTGAAAACTGGGAGTGGCCTTTGCGGATGCACTGATTTCTCAGAGGCACGGTCAGGGAGGTTCAAACGAGAAGGCCTTGTCTGGCCCCAGGAAGCACCCAGGTGCCTCCTCCCTCCATTTCCCCATCTCCAGCGGGGCGCTGCCAGGGCGGGCTCCAGGCCTGCCCCATGCCCCTGCGCACGAGCCTTGAGGCAGGTGGGGTTCCAGCGCGCAGAAGCAGCCCTCAACTGCTCCGAGTGTCTGTTGCTGGCGGTTCATGGCGGGGAGACGCGCAGCGCGAGAGCAAAGGGCGGTTACCCAATGGCCTTCGCTCTCATGGCGTCCTTCTTGGTGTTACCTAAAAATGAAGCCAAGTGTGATTAGAAGGTAATCGCCTCCTGGTCATGCTCCCACTGGTCACCAGTGTCGGCGGGGCGACCCCACATTGTGGCCAGAGCGGCCTGTGGCGGCGCTCAAGGCGGGCGCCTTCATAGCTTTCCTGGGGGGGGCCCTGCGGGACGCCCTGGCCTTGCTCCTTTCCCTTGCTAGCCTGGTCCTGAAGTGAGGGAGGAGGGTTTATCAATGCAGTGGGAACCCCAGAGTGGGTCTGGGCAGTGCCTCTCATAGTCCAAACAATGCAGAAGCTTGAGGAAAACCTCAGCAGTTGAAACCGTGATGCAGTTCAGCGAAGAAGTAGTTCCTGTCCTCGTAAAATCAGTGAAATTCTCACGGATGACCTCACTGAGTAAGTTGTGAAGCTTGTTGATTTGATCAGAATGATCAGCCAGCATGCATGTTCTAATACACTCATTTGTCAATTATATGAGCAGCTGTGAAGTGGAAGAACAGGCCATTAGTCATAGTCTGTTCACTTAGTAGCACAAGTTGTTTGTGGATGCAAGAGTGTGGCCAAAGTCAAGAAAAGCTTCTATACGAATCGCTTGCTTATGTGGAATTTACAAATAAAAACTAGTGGTAATTATTTGTAAATTGTAGGCTACACATGTATCTAAAATTTACTGCACACACGTGTGTATCTTGGGTGGTTGGGTTAGTATGTACTTGAGAATGTCATGATTTAGTTTGGATTTTGGAGGGTGTGAGATTTGTGGGGGTGGTTTTGTGTATGTGAAAATGTGTTTATATGAATTCTTAGTTTGGAATTTGATATGTATTTAATTGGCGAGAATCTAACATGTATTCCCATGTGTGGGTTGGTGGTGTCTGTCTGGAGATTGCAGATTAAAGGTCATAACTGGGCCAGGCGCGGCGGCTCACGCCTGTAATGCCAGCACTTTGGGAGGCTGAGGTGGGCGGATCACCTGAGGTCAGAAGTTGGAGACCAGCCTGGCCAACATGGTGAAACCCCGTCTCTACTAAAAATACAAAAATTAGCTGGGTACGGTGGCGCATGCCCAGCTACTTGGGAGGCTGAGGCAGATCACTTGAACCCAAGAGGCGGAGGTTGCAGTGAGCCCAGATCGTGCCACTGCACTCCAGCCTGGGCGACACAGCGAGACTCCATTCCCCGCCCCCCAAAAAAGAAGGTCATAACTGTTTTTGTGAGAGTATGTAGGAGTGAGAGTTTATATTTGGAGGATATGAGATGTAAGATATGTATACCAGAAGAATTGGGGTTAGATACTTGTGATTTGGGTTGTGAAGGTGTATTTTCCACATGTTTTCTCAGATGAATGTTGGGGATTTGTATTTGTCTAATGTTTGGCAGATTTGGAAGAATTATCTTGTGCACATGGGCAATAATAAAGTGCTTGTGTCTATTTTTGTGGATGTACACTCTGGTTTACGTATTTGGGAAATGTAGGAAGACCAGAGTGTACATTTAGTGGATGTACACTCTGGTTTATGTATTCGGGAAATGTAGGAAGCACTCAGGACATGTTGCATGGTGATGCGTGTTTCTTTTTATGATTTTCATGGGGTGTGTATGGCTATTTCAATGTGTGAGGGCAGTTCCATGTCTACTGGGGGACTGGTAGGATGAATGTGTGCAGTTGTGAGGTGGATTTTGTATGATTCTGTGTCTTGGAAGATGGAGTTATTTCTCTGTGAGCATTTGGAAGTATGATTACATATGTGCCGGTATTGTGGAACTGTATGTGTATTTGAGGATATGAGGTGGCATGTTTGCATATTTGTGGCATGTTAGTTAATCGTGGGTATATTTAGGGCACGTAGAGAACTACATAAGTATTGAGTTTGTGTGTGTGTTCAAGGGCATGGCAGTTTAGATGAATGCTTTGTGGAGCTATGTGCTTGTATTTTTCAGTAAGTGGTTATTAGGGTTGTATATTCTGGGAATTTACTATGTGTGTGTCTGATAGAGGGATGGGGTTCTCTTTTTATACAGGAGAGTGAGAGAGTTGAATTTATATCTATTAGAGGTATGTGATATGGTTATTTTTTAGTACTTAGCAATGTGGGAGCTGGTTCATACTAAATTGGGATAATTTGGGATTGGGAAGTGTTTTTATGGGTATTCATAAATGATATGCTGGAGATATATCTGTGCATCTTGGGTGTGTATACTGGTTTGTGTGTATATTTATCAGCAGATAGATGAATTATCTAAGTCTATTTATAGAATATGGGATTGTTAGTATTTAAAGTGTATTTCTTTGGAGAATGCTAGGGTGTTCGTACATGTGTTTGGGCATGTTTGGGGGAATGAAGTGAGGAGGTTGTATTCCGGAGATGTAGCATATTGATTGGATAGTGTTTCGGGGGATTTTCACATTCAGGGATTGGGGATATTTGCGTGAGTGTGTATGTGCCCACGAGTATATGAAAGTTGTGTGTGTATATGAGAGTTTTATTGGTGTTTTTGTGGGTTTTTTTGGTGTTGTATGGGTTTTATCTGGGAGGGTGGGGTGTGTATTCATGGGTAGTTTGTGAGTGTGTATATGAGGGGTTTTGGGTATATTAAGACCTAGTGGTCCTCTGTGTCTGTTGTGAAATGTAATACTCGCAGAATTTGGTGTTGCCACTCGTATGTGTGTTCTCAGTGTTTGTGAGGTGGACTTATATGTATTTGATAAAACTAGTTTGTGGTTCTGTGTGTATTTGAGTTTATGGGGCTTCTGTATTTTGTACTGTGGGAGATGTGGGAGGTTCAGTGCATGTATTTGGAAACAGAGAGGCTGTGTAGGTTGTGTTTGCATTCAAGAATCATGGATTTCTGTATTTTAGAGCTGTGGGATTGTATGTGATTCTTTTTCTGGGTGATGCCTGACACAAGTGTTGTATACCTTGTGATTTTTTTTAGATCCTATGCTTACAGGATTTTCATTATGTACATTATGTACTGTTAACAAATATACTGAAAAGGATTTTCTTAAAAAAACAACAAAAGAAAAAAATAGAAATTTGATTCCAGTGAGCTGTTTGTAAATCAAGGAGTCCCAGCCTTCAGTGCAAAACAAAGGTACACTCTGAAAGAACAAAGAGAGGTATTATCTTTTATAGAGAAAGTTCGTCCTCAGATTCCCAATCTGGTTCACTCTGCAAATGAGGGATACAAGTTGTTTATTTCTGATTGACTGATGCAAGTCACAATCTTATTTCTTAAGTCCATATGACGAAATGGTACCCCTTGATTCAGGTGGCATAAACAGGAACAGACAGCTGTGAAAGTCCCAAAGTGACACAAGTACATGGTTTTTGCAGGAAGCAGGGTACATATGTGAGACCTGAAGTTAGCAAATGGCTGCTTGGCTCCATTTTGAGTTTAGGCCCAATTAGCCACTCATGATCCATCTTGAAGGATTAGCCCTTTCAGGGTTCACAGTATATATGGGTACTGTGTTCATTGTACATATTTGTATTTGGGCACATATATATGTACATACATGGTTTTAGCAGTGATGTGAGCATTTGGGGCGGGTAGAGTTTTGTCTACAAATTTGCGTAGTTATTGGGCAGTCCATCTACTGTACCATGTAGTTAGGGTACAGTTACAGGTAGCAGTTGTGTTGCTGGTGGGCTGGTTCAGGTTCTTGACTTTGCTGCACAAAAGAAGTCTTACTTTGAGAGCGAGTCCAACATAAAAGTAAGCAAGAGAGGTTACTGCAAAGCGAACATACACTCTGACAGCCAATCACAGTGTGCTGCTCAAAGGTGAGACAACATTGACTGACGCTGGGGAAACCTCCTTTATGGGAGCCTTACATGACTATTCATGAAGGGGTGGGAAGGGATGTCACTGTTAAGCACGCTCTGGGTGGTTCTCTGGACGCGCATGTGTTATTGCTGCACACGTTAGTGCCTATATCACGTGAATCATTAACATCTTAAATCTCTACCCAAGGGTGTGTTTTTCACTGTTATAATGAGCATCGGTCAAGCCAGGGTCTCTAATCATGGGTTTTCGCACTTGTGTGAATTTGGGGATTTTCCTTCTTCTTTTCCACCTCCTTACTGCAGGACCTCCTTGTGCACTGTCAGATGGTTTGTTCTCTTCATCTGTTTAGTAAGTTTGTTCTTCTTTAATGGAGGTTATGACCACCCTATCCTATCTTAGTTGTGTGCGTCTGTTCAGGATACATGAGGAGATTGTGTTCCGGAGGTACGTAGTTTGGCGGTTTTGTTTGTATATTTGGGGTGAGAGTTGAGGCTCCTACTCAGGGTGCAGGTAGATTGTATACATGTATTCCTATGAAAGGACATGGCTGTGCTGGAGCTGGCTTTTGCTAGGTTGGGGTAGCCACTGGGCACGGCACATCTCTTTTCAGCTCTGTGTTCAGTGGCATTAGGTTGGTAGTTTAAAATTAGTCATGCTGAGATATTTACACCACATAAGCATCACAAATCTAGGCTTTCCGATTTCCCCCTGAAGAGCATTTTATTAAGCAGTTAGCAACACACCACTGGGGTGTGTGTGTGTGTTTAGGATCTGTAAGCAGATGTTTGTATGAAGCAAGAATCTTGAGGCTTTAATGGGTGTGTATACTGGGGATTCTATGTGTATTGTAGTGATGCAGAATGACCCACCCTGGTCACCCAGCAGGGTGGGTCATTCTGCATTGCTGTGTTACTCCTAAATAATTGGTTCATTCTTTAGGGCCAAAGAATCCTTATATATGGTGGTTTCTGGCTCTTCCTCCTGCAGATGGATGCAGGGGTACCTGCACCTTAGGCAGGTGGTTGCTCCTTCAGTATCTGTGTGTTCCTAGCATCTGGATCCTCAGATGGGTGGGCCTGGTAGAAAGAACACTGTGCAGAGCAGAACTTTCCCAGATATTGTCCATGTGATGGGCACAGTCAGAAAGATGTGGGGTTTCCAGGACAGGAGGTCAGATGTGCCATGTGTTCTCTCAGTCCTGATGTCCCTGCTGATTCCTCTGGGGCATGGCGAGTGACGAGGACACCCTCTAACATAGGTTCCACAAGATGAAAGCCTGCAGAACCTGTGTCTGCACTGCCATCTGCCCCCTGGGTGGGGATACTGTTTGGTGTCAGGCTGAGAGCTGGGCCACCAGTTCTCAACCAACCTGTCCCCATGGAAACCTGAGGCTTCGGGGCTAAGGCAGGACCTCCAGCAGGTACCCAATGTTGAGAATACGTGTTGGTTTCTGTGTTAGGAGTTTTGTCTCAGTGGAGTCATGGTAAAAAGAGGGAATCCAAGGCATTTGACATTTTCTTCTTTCTCCGGTGAAGTGAGGAATGAATGTTGACCATTTCTTTCTGAAGTTCCCTACAGAAAATGTATACTCAGCCTGAGGAGCCCAAGGTGACTCCTTATCTGCTCTTGGAGAAGGTGTCATCTAGAGTCTTGACAAGGAGTCTTCAGGCACAAGGACCTGAATCTGATTTCTCGTGGAAGGCATTGGGCAGAGCTTGACAGTCCTACCTAGAACTGGGCTATAATTCTAGGGATAAAGTGGAGGAGCAACAAGTGGTGGGTAGCACACCTTTAGAACCTGGGCCTGGAGTGGGCAGGCCAAGGAAGCCTGAGTTTACATGGGCTTAGGTCCTGGGGCAGAAGCCAGTCACAGAGCCTGGGCAGCCAGATTCGTTCCAGCCTGGGTTGTGGGTGAGGGTGAGCCTCCTCTTGTGCTCCTGTCTGGGGCACCCCTGAGCTGCAGGCAGAGGTCTTAGTTGCAACTCGGCAGGGATGTACAGCCGGGCCTGGTGCTAAGGAGTGAAGAGGGTAGAGTCAAGGAGAGGAGGCTCTGATCTGTGTCCCTTCAGCAATCTGGAGCATGATGTTAGATCCTGTTAGCGCAGCCTCCCACTCACATCTCCTGGATCTTCTGTCACCGGGAGGCTCAGGACCCCAAGAGAGAATGGGTTCGGTTCCTCCTGATGTGTTCATCTGGTTCTGGGTCCCCACTCTTTGAGCACACTGGTTGCTGGCCCTGCAGATGTGGGGGAAGCCTGGCAGGGCTGGGGTCAGTGAAGTGACACAGGCAGAGCTGGGCAGGTTCTGTCCTGAGGAGTACTGGGAGCTGGAGTCTGGAGACACAGGGAAGCCCCCCTGAGAAAATGTGGCTCTAATGTTTCTGAGAACCCTGTGGATGGGTTCTCCTTTCTTTCCAAAGGCTCAGGATGCCCCTGGAGTGGCAATCACGTCTCAGCTTCTTCTTTCTTTTCTTTTCCTTTTTTTTTTTTTTGAGACAGAGTCTCCCTCGTTGCCCAGGCTGGAGTGCAGTGGCATGATCTTGGCTCACTGCGACCTCCTGGGTTCTAAGCAACTCTCCTGCCTCAGCCTCCAGAGTAGCTGGGATTACAGGCATGCACCACCATGCCCAGCTAATTTTGTATTTTTGGTAAAGACAGGGTTTTGCCATGTTGGCCAGGCTGGTCTCAAACTCCTGACCTCAGGTGATCCACCCACCTCGGTCTCCCAAAGTGCTGGGATTACAGGCGTGAGCCACTACGCCTGGGCAGCTTCATGTTTCTGAATGGGTGACCCAACCTTCCGTATTTTCTTTATTGCACATGGGGCCACAAGCCCAGCAGAGGGGACCACAAGCCCAGCAGAGGGAGCCACGTGATGGAGGTGTCCACCTGCTGATCCCACAGCCACCAGCTCCTCCCTCAGACTCACCCAAGGATTTGTGGGCCTTGCTCCTTACCGGGAGTTGCCTTCTGGCCTTTTCTTCCTCATGGTGAATCCTCCTGCCAATAAAATGTGCCAACATCACTTCCTTTAATGTTGTAATAGCCTCTTTCCTGTGGTACAAATGGATTCCTGGTGGCTCTCGCTGCCCCCTCATGTCCTACCCGAACATAATGAGGGTATGTTGTACTAGTTGTGTTGTGTTTCATTGGCAGATTGGAGCTCTGTCTGCTTTTATAATATATGTCTTAAATAAAAATGCACTGCAATGTATACCGGGTAGATCTTCTTGGATTTCTTTGTTTTGAAATAGGAAGTCATGGATCCTGAGTTTCAGGGCAGAAGTACATGTGTCTCTTGGTCTTGAATCAGCACAGAAAATCTCCCTTGCAGGTTGCATGAATGAAAATTGCTAGATTCGCTGAGGTCAGCCTGAGCCATTTGTTCTGGGCTCAATATTTTTGAAGAGTGTATGTCATGAAACATATCCTGCACCCACCCCCTTCTCTGTATGAGCAGAAGATTTCCTCAACTGTGTGTTGAGTGGCCCCTCTGTGCAGCTCCTTAGAAGCCCCTGACTGTTCTGTTTCCCAGGAGCTTATAGGAAAAAGGATCTGTTCCCATCTCAGTCCTCACTGGGCCCTGGTGCTCTATAGTGACACAGTAGTGAGTCTGAGGACACTGAGAAGTAAACAGTGAGGCCACTGAGGAACTGCCCCTTCAAAGGAGGCTGTTCTGATGCCCACTGCAGGAGTCTGGGATCAAAGGAAGGAGACTCAGCAGGCAAGACCAGGGAAGGCAGAATGGGCCAGCCAGGCGAACACTAGGAACAGAGCAGAGAGCTGGGGGTCGGGAATGGAGTGGGAGGCAGGCTTTGATTGCACAGAGAGGTGTAGGGGGCATGTCAGGGCATGTGAAGTCCCCCTACCCACAACACAAGAGTCCCCAGCCTCTCCTTCCTTTCCCAGACTCGTTTCCTGGGGCTGTAAGTAGGGAACACTGGGGGAATGTCAGCCTGGGGCTCAGTGGTCTAGGTCCTTCTTGCAGATCAAACCTTTATTGAAGCATCCTTTGAGTAATAAGCATATCCATGGTGTCTGCAGGTTAGAATTGGGATATTTAAGGAGCCCAGGGCCTTCTCTTGGGAGTCACCCCAGGTTCCTAAAGAGAGGTGGAGGCAAGTGTAGCTGGAGGTGTCCCAGGAGGGAGAAGCCTAGGCCCAGCATGGGAAGCAGGCAGTGGGAGATGTGGTGTTCTCCCAGCAAGGAGACAGCTGCTGTGTTGACAGTGGGCACTGGAAAGGGCTGTGGTTGGGTGATCCTCCCCCATGAGGACCCCTTACTGTTGGGGACCCTCATTGCCAGAAGATGTAACTGAAATGTCACTTCCCGTATGAAATGTCTTCTCTGCACTCAGCACTCCCCCAGTGGCAGGGAAGTTTCTCAAGGGGCAACCATGGTCAGGTCAAGGGTACAGGCTCTGGAACCAGACTGCTGGCTCAAATCCCAGAAGCCCCAGTGTATACCTGACCTTTGTGAGCTTGGGCAAGTATTTTAACCTCTCTGAGCCTCAACTTACTTATCTGTAAAATGGAGATAATAGTGCTAACTCCACAGGGTTATAAAGCTTGGCATTCATACATGTAAAGTGCTTGGAGCAGTGAATGCTATACTGTAGGTGCATATGGCATAACTGTTAGCTAATGTGATTACTAGTCCATACGGAACATAACTTCCCATTTCCCTAGTATAGGCCCCCTCTCATCCACACTCAGAGCCTCCTCTTCGGATGGCCTCAGGGGAATATGGGCTCCTTACTCTTCCCCCTAAATCCCCAACTTGAACCTCTGTCTCACAGCAAAATTAATGCTGGAAACGTCTGCTCCTATAGGACTGAAACCTCAGACACAGGGAGCTGGCCTATTCACCTTAGAATCCTCTGGGGTACCCACTACAGTGTCTGCAGCAAGGAGTCAATAAAGAACCGGGGAACAGACTGGAGCAGAAGGACCACCCAGCAGAGCCAAGCCAAATCACTGACCCTCAGAGACCTGATGTGAATGCTTATGGTTTCAGTCCACTGGATTCTGCAGTAATCTGCCGATCTGCAATATTACCACAGTAAATAATGGATAGACCTGAAAATGAACGTGTACCTCGTGCCAAAATTGCAGATACCCCATGAGCAGGAAACCTCAGCAGTAGAAACAATTTTATATGAGGGAATGTACTCTCTCCTTTGCATTTATCCTCAAATCTGTATTTTTAGCCCCTCACTTGTCTCTACAGAGACAAGTGAGTTGCTTAATCTAATTGCTGACTGTACATCTCCAGGAAACTGTGTGTATGTGTTTATATTCATAGTATATGTATTTATTATCTGTTTTCTTCCATGGGATGTAGTCTCCCTAAGAGAGTAGTCATGATTGTATTTGTTGATGCTTAATAGGTTGTATTTGTTGATGCTTAACAAGTAATCATTGAATGGGCTGGGCGCGGTGGCTCACACCTGTAATCTCAGCACTTTGGGAGGCTGAGGCAGGCAGATCATGAGATCGGGAGATCGAGACCATCCTGGCCAACATGGTGACCTGTCTCTAGTAAAAATACAAGAAAATTAGCTGGGTGTGGTGGAGTGTGCCTGTAATCCCAGCTACTCTGGAGGCTGACGCTGGAGAATCACTTGAACCTGAGAGGTGGAGGTTGCAGTGAGCCAAGATTGCGCCATTGCACTCTAGCCTGGTGACAGAGCGAGACTCTATCTCGCTCTTATTTAATATAAAATAAAATAATCATTGAATGAAGGAATCAAAGAATGTGGTCCCAGGTTGGGCACCCTTAGTTCAGTCCCTGAGAGTTTATGAGTATAATGTTTTGCCTTTTAACATAAGTGAAAGAAGGGAGCATAGTTGCATTGAAGGAGAAGTTAAACTATGACTCGGGACCCCAAGCAGTCTCACCTGACCCCATATGCTGCTGTGGGACTAAAATGTCTCAATAGAACTGTCCTTCGTCAGCCACTTTACACCTGCTTCGATTAGCCACTGGATATGAAGCTTCCCCAGAAAGAGGAGAGAACGCAGCATGGGTGTTCTCCATAGCTGAAGCAACCCTGGGAGGGCCTGAGTCTATCTTCCAACAGCATTCCCAGCATGACTTGGTGAAACAAGTCATTCATCAAGGAGGGATCTAGGTGGCTGATGTCCGCATCCACCACAGTCTGCCTCTGTTCAGCTTGAATCCATTTCTTCATTTGTAGTCTGAGGGTGGAAAACAAATGCGTGTGTCTGTGTGTTCAGGACTGTAGGAGGTGGAGGTCTGTATGTTTAGGGTAGTGTGTCTGTGCATACAAAGTTGGACTTTGTATGTATGAATTTAGGGAGTGTGAGTGGCTGTGTATATATTATGGGGTAAAGCCACCACATATGTTTGTGGTAGAGTTGGAGTTTTGTGTATAATGTGAGGATTCATTTGGATTATATGTGTTCTAAACTGTGGGTAGTTTATGTGGATATTCAGAGTATGGATAGGGAGCATGTACATGTATTTGAAGGAGGGTAAGGTTATGTGAAGTATGTGTTGAATTCTGGTGGGATGAGGGATGTGTGAATTCATAGCTTGTGCAGGTTTTATGCAGCTGGCCTGAGAAGGCTGGAGTGTCTACTATATGCATTTGGAGATTGGGAGTTGGTGTGTCTGTGCATTTATTTGGATCATGGAAGGTTGTAGATGTGTATTTCTAACTGTAGATATTGAGGACGCATATTTGGGGAGTTTTGAGAGGATGTGTGTGTGTGCATGTGCCTGCGCACGTGTGTGTATGTGTGCACGTGCAGTGTGGTGTTTCTCTATGTTTTGGTGGGTCATCCATCAGAATATCCCAGATTATCTGATGTAACAAACAAATAATTCTGCATCTCACTGACTTCCAACAACATAGGTTTCTCATGTATGTTACGTGTCCTCCATTGGTTGGCTTTGATCAGTTACTGGTCCTCTGCCTTGGATCCAGATGGATGGAGCAGCCTCATTTGGGACAGAACTAGAAGGATTTCTTCTGCTCAGAGTCATACATGGCATTTCTGCTCACATTTCATTTGCCATAACAAGTCATGTGGCCTTACTTGAGTTAAATCGACTAGGGATATATAATCTCTCAGAGACACCACAGAGAAGGACCATGAATTGTCTTCATAGTGATACATCTGCCCTATTGTGTTCAGAACATGTTCCATTGCTGTGTTTATATTTCACTAAGGAGTATGGGGAGTTGATGAGGGAAGGTGTTTAGGTGTGTGAAGGCTGCTGTGTGACAAGGGAGACATTGGCTGGTGTGGGATGTTTTTATACTAACACATTTTGGGGATTTGTATCTGTTTTGGGTATTTGTATTCTGTGTCATGTGTATCTGTTATATATCTAAGATATATATTTATGTAGGTAGGTTAAGTATTCAGTGGTGTTGGAAATGTGTTTTTAGGGGAATAAAGGTGAGTTTTTAGTATATTACAGAAGCATAGTGGGTTTTGGGTTTATTCTCAGGGTACTGGATAGTTATATGTTCCTATTTGAATGGTGTGTGTGTATGTGTGTGTGTGTGTGTGTATTTGTGTGCTGGGGGTGGTTCTGTGTATTTTGACGGTACTGTGAGATATTGTGAATGTGTGTACATACATTTGAAAAGGAAGGTAATGTTCTGTGTTTTAATGCTTTGTGTGTTGGATTTGTGTGTATTCAGAGTAGAGGAGTTTTATCTATGCTCACGGTGTCTAGATGAGAATTTAGGTGTACATTTTTGGTGTGAAGAATTTGGAGGCAGAGAGATGGCTGGGTGTATTTGGGTGTTATAACTATATGTATATAACCTGAGGATATGGACAGAATATTTAGAGTTTTCAAGATGGAGGCTTGTGTATGTTTGTATTTGGGAGTACACGGCCATGTGCGTATTTGGATCTGTGAGTATATTGTGAGTGTGTTATGCAGGCATCTGCATGTTTGAGTTTGTGTAATCTGAAGAGTGTGAATTTATTCAGGAAATGTGGTGGCTGTGTGTCCATTGTAGAGCTGTGAGTGTGTGGTCTGTGCTTCTACCAGGGGAATATAGGATAATTTCCTCTTTTTTTTCTATTTTTATAACATTTTATGTAACTCATAAACAGTTTGTATCAAAATTCACACAAAGTTGCTAGAGAGCATACGATTTCCAAAAATGTCCTGGGTTTTTAATTACATTAAGGTTTTCTAAGGATGCACTCAAATCAATGGTAAAATGCAGACAATATGTGATATTTCATTATTTTTAGCAAAACTATTCTCACTACTTTGTCTCCTCACAGTATTAACTCTGATACCCACTTTGTACAGGATTTGCTAGTACTAGGATGTCACAAAACCATTAAGCTTGGATCTACAGAGGCAAATATTTCCAAACAGCAGTAATAGCCCCTTGGCCCCCACCCCCACTTCATATATCCATACAGTCTGTCTGCACAGTCAGGCAGGGCGCAAGCTCACGACCTCCACTTGGGAGTCTCAAGATCCCCTTTTGATTGGGCAAGAAGCAAACATTTGGGGGAATGTTGGAAACTGAGGCCATCTTTACAGGAACCCACGTGGTCAGGCCAGCAACTACCAATTAAACGGCCAGTCCGCTCACCACTAAGTAGATCCCACTGGTTGATGATTGCTACTGATGTGGTCCTCCCTCTCCAACAACAAACATAAAAGAAAAGGAAGGTTTGGAGCCAACAATGAAGGGGGAGGGGCGCACTAGTACAAATGACACCAGACACGACTTTATTCCCTGTCAAACATTTGTCGTCATGTAGATACAGCCAAGGTGAACTGAAGCAGGGTGTGAACACTCTGTACATTCATGACTATCTTCATTCTTTAAAACCTTACTAACAGGGAAACCAATGAACTTACCACCTACTGTGACTTACTAGTTCACTCAACATCAAAACGTGTCTGTGCTAATTTTTAGTCTGGGATACAAGACAAAAAAAAAAAAAAATCCAAAAGACAAACAAGTAAAAACCAAAGAATTTAGATGGGGGAAGGAAAGGGATTGTGAGCAGATTTCATGGAATACATTAAATTTTGAAAAATCAGTATTTTGTAGTTCTATTGCTTTGTGCAAAAAGTTTAAAATAAAAAAAAATGCCCACTGGAGCTACCCATATGGATGGAGAGGTGAGGACATGATATAGACAGGGCACAGGACCTGCAAGCGTTTCCTGACGACAGTCCAGAGGGACAGGAATAGTTCCCAGGATGTGTCAATTTCTCTTCACAGAAAGGGGCTGTAAGATTTGGGGGGGGAAAAGCCCTACACGTGAAGGATGTTAAGAAAATCATTGAAATATGGTTTCCAAAAACTGAGCATGCTCTAAGTTACAGACAGACATACTTAATTCTGAGAACTTGTTGAACTTCTCTGACATGGGTAGATGGGAATTTCAAAAAAGTTACTAATAAATGATTGTGCTTCTAAAGTTGCAGGGTCAACATTTCATCCTCTAGAAAGCAGGGCAATTCATGGCTTGGAGTCTTCTTGTTTATATCCTAGAAACCAGAACAAATTTCATGGGACCCCTCACCGCCAACAACCAGCAGGGAAGGTGGAGAGAGGGCCACAGCTGTCTTTGTTGGGCGCCTGTGTGTGCCTGCTGTGTGCATGTGCTGGAGAGACTAAGCATAGAGAAGGGCCCAAGCGATGAGGGAAAGTGAGTCTCCTGGCTGCTCCAGTCCCTTCTTTCCAGGCACAAAGAAGTTGAACTTGTTTTTCATGTAGGCCCCGTTCATCTCACTTCAGCTTTTAGTAACAGTGTGTATGTGCATGAGTAGCTGTGTGTGACAGAGTAAGTCCCTGTGCCTTTCTAGATTTCAGTAATTCAGGTTTGCGGTTTCAAGAGAAATAATCTGTAAATGACACAAGAACAAATTTATAAGTTAGATTAGCAACTTTACGTTGCTTAAAATCTGATGTTATATTTTTAAAAATGCCCCTGGGTACAGGCAAAATTATATGGCCACTGGAACTGAAGTCCTTACCAGCTGTATGAGGAATATTCAGATTGTTTCTGTTATCTCTGCATTTTAAAGTAGCAAAATACTAAGCCATTAGGTTATTGAACCTGTAATATTCCCACAGGGGTTTTATGTCTACCCCATGTGATTCAGTTAATTTTCCTGGACTCTGGTTAGACTGCTTCCTTTCCCTCTTAGGCATTTGGACCCCAAAGGTAGGTAGGTAAAAGTGTCATTTTTAAAGATTTTACCTGTTGGGGAATTTCCTGGTTGCTGCTCCTGGAAAGCGTGCAGCTGGCCTGC